GCTGCGGGGCGCGGCCCCGCGCTCACTCTGGCTGGACCCTTCCCGGGCAGCCCCCAGATGCTGTGTGCCACAGACTCCCCGCCTAGCCGCCGCTCCGGCTCATAAACTTGTCGGCAATAAAATTGCTTTCCCTGGTCGCAGCGGCCGGGGATTTGTAAAATTCCAAGGAGATCAGAGTTGACCGCGCCAAGATCCCCATCCCACCTAGGAAGGACCTCAGTCTCCTGACCTGGCCCCTTCTGTTCTCCGCCCCAACCCTGCTGAAAGCTCTTAAAGACGTCCTGGCGGCTGGAAGTTATTAGCGAGGCACCGGGCCTTGGGGGACTCAAGACTTGGAAGGAGCTGGCCCGGCAGAGCGACTGCAGCAGGGAGCAGTGGGGATGCGATGCGCAAGCCCCAGCAGGTGAGTGGACTCCAGCGGCTCTGCGGCTGGACCCAAGGCTGTCCCAGCTGGGCTCAGAGGCCCTGAGGAAGTGAAAACACATGGAGAAGCACAGGAGACCTGGCCCTCAGGAGAGAAGACACAGCAAACCCAGGGCTAGCATTACTGCTCAGGAGAGGTCTCTGCTAGTGAAGACTAGCCTCCACAGAGGGCCTTCTGGTCACATCAGTCCATCAGTCTATGTCTTTGTCTCCTTATTAAGTTCCTGTAGTCCCAGTAGGAGTTCCCCAGCCTGGGGAGGCCGAGAAACCACCAAGCAGGAGTAGTGGGAGGGGTCACTGGTCACTGCCCTATGGAAGAGTGACTTGAATGGTGGACTTCATACACCTAGCCAGATTCTGGGACAGCAAACCTCTGCCAAGCCAGGGACAAACTCTAAGGCCTGGGATACTCATTCCTATTTTATCTGCGTCCCGTGTGTGATTCTTTCTTCTTGTCTCTCCCACAGCTAATCTAGTCGGGGTCTCACACCAGGGTGAGCACCTCCACAGCCCTCCTTTGTAGGAATAAGGCAGTTCTGGGACATCACTGCTCCACCAGGGGAGGCCCAACAAGGCAAGGCTTTTGTTCAAATATCACACCCCAAATACTTAGTGGATTCACAGCCCAGAGACAGAGAAGACTCACCACTCCTGAGGAACTCACACTCTGAAGGAACTCTCTGTTATGGGTTTCTTCTAGTTTTTTTTTCTAACAGTGCCATGAAGAAGTGGGCCGGTCCCTCCTGGACTGTCCATTCTGTCACCTTCTCTGTGAACCTCTGCACCTCCCACCATTTGTGCAGTGGTCTTTTGGGCCCATCTGTCTATTCCCTGGGGCATATGGAGCCTGTAGTTGGGGTGCCCCAAACAGAGCTTGGAAGATCTGAGGCACCTGGGCCAAAGATTGCTTCTCAAGGACAGGAAAACACTTTGATCATGGGGGTTAGAGAACCTCATGTTGAGGCACTGACCTGCCCCACCCAACAAGGTCTTCTTGGTAAAGGCTCCCTCCAATGACCACCCCCATGCCCCATACACATAGTCACTCACATAGTGCCTTTGTGGCTGCCTGAGCAACACAGCCCAATGGGTTAGAGAACACAGCCAGCCACAGCAGAAAGCCAAGATGCCTCAGGACCTTATGAATTGGTTATTAATG